AATTCATCTTCAGATGTTTAATAATACTTACTTCGACAGTGATCTCTTTTGGGCTTTTCTTAGCCCATGGTTAGTAAAAGTCCATTGAGGTTTTTTTGTTGTTGTTTTTTTTGAGATTGGGTCTCGCTATGCAGTTCAGGCTGGCCTTGAGTTCATTTTGTACCCCAGGGTGGTCTTGAACTCACAACGATCCTCCTGCCTCAGCCTCCCGAGTGCTGGAATTACAGGCATGCACCATCATGCCTGGCAAGTCCATTCAGTTTTGTTACTGTCGTTTTTGGTATTAAGTCCATTTTATATTTTCTGTCTTCTTAGGAATTTGTCAACTTTGTGTAGATTATCTAATTGTCAAAAAAAAAAAACCCCATGATAAACAAAAAGGGAAAACACCTTAAATGCTCATCAGCTAGTGAGTATATAAGTACAATGTATTATATCCATACGATGCAGTATTATTTGGCTGTAAAAAACAGAAATATTAACATACATGACATGGTGAATGAACTTTGAAAATGTATGGCTAGTGAAAACAGACAATTTGTATGATTAGATTTATATGAATATCTTAAATAGGCAGGTGTGTTTAGAGAAAGTAGAGTAATGGTGGCTTAGTGCTAGAGAAATGTTAGCTAAAAGGTTCCTCCTTTTTATTACCATGTGGAAGTTGCACGTTTGTCGGTATGTGAAAACTTACTCAGTCATACTCTTTGAATGACTTGTTATGTAAATTATACTTTGGTAAAGCTTTTAAAAATTTTCTCATTGTTGTCATAATGGTCAGTGGTCATATCCTCATTTTTGTTTCTGATTTTATTAATTTGTTCCATTCACTTTTTAAAATAATCTAACTAAAGGTTTGAGTCTCGTTTAAGCTCTTTAATAAGCTAGTTTTAGTTTCATTTATTTCACTGTTTTTCTGTTCTTTATTGTATCTGTACTTTATTCCTTTTCTTCTACTTGCAGTTGACTTCACTCTTTTTTGTAGTTTCTTTAGGTAAAATGTAGGTCTTTTTTTTTATTAATGTAGACAATTATAGCTATATAAATTTCCCTTTTCAGCACTGCTTTTGCTACATTTTCTGAGTTATACTCATTTTCAGCTTTGTTCTCTTCAGTATACTCTGCGATTTCCCCTGTGCTTCTGCACTGACCCGTTGGTGGTTAAGCAGGCTTTTGTTGCTTTCCCAGATTTGCAAATATTCTAGATTTCTTTTTTTTAGTTCATTTGTCATTGTATTTTCTTGTACCCAGAGAAGACAGTGTCATTTTCATGTTTTAAAATTAGTTGAGATGTGTTTTATTGGTTAACATGTATTCTACCTTGGAGAATGTTCTTCAGGCACTTGAGAAAAATATGTAATCTGTTATGTTGGATGTAATTGTTGTGTTTGTCTACTTTCTTGTTCATCTTTTGTGTGGCTCTTTTTGTTTGTTTTTGTTGTTTTTTGAGACAGGGTCTC